TCTGGTCGGCGCGCTCGTTTTCGTCGACGCCGCAATGGGACGGCACCCACTGTAGGTGGATCCGGCGGGACGGACCGGCCAGGGCCGCTAGTTCGGTCCAAATGGCGGCTCCTAGCAGGGTCTTCTGGGACGCCGGGCCCTCTCTCAGCGTCGCGAGGGCCGACTGCGAATCCGAGCAGATGGTGATCGGCGCGCTCGGCTGGTGCGGGTGGTCGCGCAGGTGGTTCAGGGCCGCGCGGAGTGTGACCATCTCCGCCCTGAAGCTCGAGCAGAGTTGACCGGCAGGGACGCGTAGCTCGTCGGTTGCACCGTCCGGCCACTCCACAAAGGCTCCTGCTCCTCCGCTGCGGACTCCCGCATCCGTCCAAACCCAGATGGCTTGCTGGGGGAGGGACGCTAGGTGTCTCTGCGCCGCCTGGTGCAGTTCGTCAGGTGGGGCGTCCCGCCGCAACGCTCCGATGTCCAGGGAGAATGTGACGTGTGGGCAGGCGGCCACCTCCCACGGCGGCGCGCGGGCGGGCAGCAGGGGCTCGATCGTGAGCACGATCCCAGCAGCCCGCCAGGTGTCGTGCCCCACCCCGCCCCATCTGAGCTCGTGCGGAACCCTCGTTCAGATACGTAATGTCGCTATCTGCCACCTCGCGGTTCCCTTGTCAAGCCGAACTCATAGGCGGCGGAACGGGGAGGGCACCGCGGCACCGTGCCCCCTTTGATTTTGGCATTTTAACATTAGCCCTATGGGCGTTGCATGGAATGAATGGGACCAAAAGTCGGCAGTACCCCCCTTAATTGAAGGTATTCCGCCGCTACTGGCCGAACTGATGACACGCAATGGCCAGTCAGTCACAGCTCAGCTTCCTGCGGAACACAGGAAGACACATTCAGTGAGAGTCGGTGGTCATTGATTGTGTCAATATTATTGACATGTTGACTAAAGAACGGTTATATTGCGCCAATACTGTTGCCAGTAGCAGCACCACCAATCTTTTGAACTAAAACCACTTGACATCGGTAAAAAGAAACCCTCTAGCTTTTTTTCAAGCAATCCGTGAAATAGAGGGGATTAGAAAAACCGAAAACCCAAATATTAGCACTAGATAACATAGATCTTAAATTTTGGCCAACATTTTTAAAGCATAGGTACATCAGAGGAGATGTTGGCGGCTTACCGTCGCGTCTGTGATGATCTCTGAGTCATGTCGCATCGTCCGTTTTGTTACGCCCGGTAGTTCAGCGGTGAGTCGCTGGCAATCTGGCTCACTGATTCAACCCCTCCGACGCCGGCGGGCTGTGTGGCGAATCACCTTTTACAAATGTTGGGTATTGATAGCGTCATTCAGCATATGTCGGTAGGCGCTAATACAGAAATTTTTGATGATAACCTGTTTGTTTTCAGGGCGCTGGAATCAGATGAAATAGCTCCCATATAGGAGATAGTGAGGTTGTTGATGGTAGGTATCTGAAGAGTGTTGTTTCCCAACTCAGAATAATTGTAATGTGCCATCGATTGTACCTTTTACCGCAACCCTGTCGATACCTATATTAGAAGGCTTGCCTTAGTTACTAATAGTCTTTCATTTAGAGAAAAATATCTATCACTAATCAAAATCGTTAGGTATGCTGGTTCTGTTGCTCACCCCTTATCTACAGGCTACAGCATCGGCGCGGCGCACGTCTTGGTGATTCCTGCTCTGTTCCTCCTGTTTCGTTTTTTAGCCGTCAACCTTGAAATTTACCACTTTCCTAACAACTCAACAGGAAAAAATGGAACGCGATATATGGGAAAAATGTATGTTTCCGAATTGTTTTATTTCTTCTTAAGCAGTTTGAACAAAAATAGAAGTCATTTCTCATTTGAAACTACCCCAATTATAACGATATGATAGTGCCCGTTATTGGCAATGTAGGTGGCAGCACCGTCGACTGCGACTTTTTCGCTGTAACTTCGACCTGCCCGAGCCTCGTCAAATCGCATTTTTACGCAAAACCAACTGCAGGGCTAGTGTTTTGGCATGCTCCCGCCAATTTATATCTTTGTCTAACGCGAATCTGTGAGAAAAACCCCTCTGTCGACACACCCTAATCCTCAATGGTCTCCATTACCATTTTATATTCCTAAACAATATGACAGACCAATTATGCTTGCCTACGTTCAGGCATTACCTCTGATGGTCATACGCCCAGTACAACATGTGTTGTCTGTCAAACAACAATCGACGACGGGATCCCTTCTCATCATCTCTTAAGCCATCGGCTGTCAATTCACCCACCCCGTTTCCCTAAAAATAGACGGTCAGATTCGGCCTGGGTCCTTACGACCTCTCTAAATTCGCCAGAGACGGGATCGGATCGCCGTTATTGCACCCGTCTTAGTGTCTTAAATACTATGACAGCTTCGACCACGGACGTCGGACGGGGTGATCGTTCCACGAATGTACGCACCATCCAGGCCTAGGATGCATCGAGGTTTAAAAGGATGCAGTCTGTAGATCAATCAACAAACAATGGTGGTATGCAACCACTTTAAAATATCTTCCTGACTCCCGCAACGTTCCAACGCCCCTCTGTTATGCATTCGCCCTGTGTGTCCGCCGAGCCGGCTTGCCTCCAATGACGTCATCGGCCGGCCGGCGGCGTTCAAGGTCAAACGGCTGGTGTCCTTACCTGGAGTTCTATAGCCTTGGATAACGGTAAGTCAGGGTTGCAGCCTGAGGTTGAGCGGCTTCAGCTTCAGGGTAAAATCTTCAGATACCGGGGGATGGCCGATTTAGATGCCGAGTGCCCTGGACCAGATGCCCTGGTGCCGGACCCGTTAAAATTACATCCATTCAGCACTCAGGAGGGACATGTAGGGACAAGACCGCGCCAACCGCGTATCAAGTTCGTGACACTCTGTATACCTATACGTTTTGCGTCAATTCTGTCGAGATGGAGCCAACGCTGAATGGACTTGAGCGACCGTCTCCGTACCTTTCGTATATGCGGAGTTGTAGCCGTGTGTATAAAAGCTGCGATGTCCAGTATTCTGCCCTGGTGGGCAGCTGTTCCGGCAGAGACGATTGATAATGTACCTAAACGTGTAACAATCAAATTTTCGTAAATTGGAAGAGTATTCTTTTCTGATCAATATCCACCCATAATATTTCCAAAAAGCCACCAAGAGCTCTTAGAAACAGTACAATCATTGTATCGAGCGCATGTTTACCCACGAAACCACGCCCGGTGCTCGGCACCCGACGGCCGCTGGGGCTCAGTGACCTGAACTCGGCGGCGCTACCCGGAGAACGCAGTGTCCCCTCACTTGGTGCGCATTGACAGCGATTAACTTTTGTAAGCGGCAGTTACAAATGATGCTTACCTATACATCGTCGCTAGTGCGAGTTTGATGTCAGGCATTTTGCAAAATGTCTGGGAAAATATTTCAGGCAGTTTGCAGAATGCCTGGTGGGTCAGGCAGTTTGCAAACTGCCTGGGCATTTTGCAAAATGCCTGGCCGGTCAGGCATTTTGCAAACTGCCTAGGCATTTTGCAAAATGCCCGAGTTTTCACTTTGCCTGTAACATATGTAACGATTGTATGCTTGCTCATTTTATTCTGAAGATGAAACATGAGTGTTTTGAAACGTTAATAGATCATGAGCATCGGTGAACTTTTATTTAAACTACCGAAACATCAACGAAAAACATTCCGACAAATCGAAGCCACCACACGGAAACTGGTGAAAGCTGAAAATGCCCTGGTCTTTAATGAGACTGCAATAAAGGAAAACGTTCTGCCAAACTATACGAATATATATATATATATATATATATATATATATATATATATATATATATATATATATATATATATATATATATATATATATATATATATATATATATATATATATATATATATATATATATATATATATATATATATATATATATATATATATATATATATATATATATATATATATATATATATATATATATATATATATATATATATATATATATATATATATATATATATATATATATATATATATATATATATATATATATATATATATATATATATATATATATATATATATATATATATATATATATATATATATATATATATAGGGTGTTCCAAAAAAGTGAGCCCCCTAACTAAGATCGACTGTATCTCCGCAACCGTGTATCCTACAGCTTTGGAAAGCCGCTCATTAGAAAGAGCAATCGAATTCCATCCAGATAGGTCGTAATTCTGTTACATTGCTTGCACAACACGACCAGCATTGTGAAAAGCACAATTCAATACCAAATTCTTTGTGAAATATTTAGGGGTAACTGATATGGTTAAAATTTCTTCACATCTGACTGCATATTTCAGTTCACGTGCTTTTATTCATTCTTCGCGCGTGAACTTTTATCATAAAAAAATGCAGACTGAATGGATGACCTAGTTCAACCAGTATTTTGACCACTCCAATATCGGTCGTGCGTTGCCGTCAGCAATACACGTTTACCGCCGTCGCCGTGTTTCACCCGATCTCGCAACACATTTTGTTCTGGTCGTTCTCGGTGTAATACGTAATCATTCAGAGCCACACTAGGTAGTCTACTAGAACCGAAATTGACCGTTCTTTCCAACAAGGGGTCTTTCATTATCGTAGGACATACGGTTTTGGAGATAAAAGCAATAATAGTTAGGCGGGGCATACCGCCGTCGCCAAGTTTCACTCGATCTCGCAACACATTTTGTTCTGGTCGTTCTCGGTGTAATACGTGATCATTCAGAACCACACTAGGTAGCCTACTAGAACCGAAATTGACCGTTCTTTCCAACAAGGGGTCTCTCATTATCGTAGGACATACGGTTTCGGAGATAAAAGCAATATAAGTTTGGGGGCTCACTTTTTTGGAACACCCTGTATATATATACATATTGTATATATTATCTACTGCTACTCAACTTATAACGGTATGTTACGAGTTCTTATTATTTTATTTTTTGTTCTTCAGGAGAGCGCTCCAGCACATTCCGTCGAGGCCACCGAATGATGAGAGCGGCTCAACAGCCGTCTGGGAGCAGCACTGACGGCCATCGGTACTTCTCGGAGCCAACGAGGACATGGTTTAGGCGGAGAAGCTGGGGTCATGGCTGGGGCCGGACCGTTCGGTGGCAGACAGAGCCGCGGCGATTACGGCGGCCGACACGACGCCCAAGCCGCTCCCGTGTCGGGGGCAGCGGTTATTTTAAGGTCGGTCGTGAATGCTTTGTACATTCACCAGTGTAAACTAACGTCACAAGAGCCAAATGAGATGTGCGCAGGTCTCAGCTAGAATGTGACTGGTGGCCTTGGCCAGGGATGACAGGGCGCTAGTGATCGTCGAGATTTGTGATTGGTCGACTTTCGGCGGGATTAGGTAACGGTTGCATCATTTTCACTAGACGGACGACCTGTCGAAGGATGGACGACATCGGCGTGTTTTCCATGCTGCATGCTATGTACTTCACCTTTCATTTCATTTTACGGCTGGGGTTCGTGTTGATTTTGTTGGAAGCTAATCAATTACGACATTGCTTACAGGAGCCGTAGAGCTCGTTAAAAATGAGCATATGGTTAAAAGTAGTTCCGCTTAACGAGTCGGGTGGCGCAAATGCTGCAGGTGCAGGTGGTGTCCGTCCAACCCGGCGGCTGGCTGGGGTGTCGTCACTCCGCGGGCCGAAGACGACCTTCTTTAAGCTTTATTTGTCAAGTGGCATCATGTATGCGATCAACTAAGGTCAAATGGCAGCTTTTGTGAACCCATCATCACATTGTGATCTTTTTTCTGTTGCAAGGCTATGACAACAGCTAAGGTCATAAGTCGGGGTGCTGCCTCATGCGTCTTTACTTTTTCGTCGGTGCCTCGGATATGGGAGAGGGGGAGGGGGAGGTGGACGATCACGACGAACGCTGGTGATATTCAACGGAGGTGACTCGAGTCAGAGACTAACTTATCACTATTTATCGGGGACTAGAACCAAACCAAAGCTGAGATTTTGCTGCGGCGCGCGTGTTCTGGAGTGACGCGGTGTACTGACGGCTGCTCCGGCGGGCTGTGACACGGACGGTGACGACGCCTCACCGATACCGCTGGCACAGAGCCGAGGTCACGGTGTGGCGCCAGCAGGTGCCAGTAGCGCTGTGCCAGGCGCTCAGCCTGTATTCCTCTCGCGTAGATTTGGGCTTATGTTATGACGGTTGTACATTTGTTTATGGAAACAGGCGCACACCGCAAACTCACACAAAGGGAGAGAAAGAGAGGGAGAGAAAGCATACATACATATACATGCATTTATATATATATATATATATATATATATATATATATATATATATATATATATATATATATATATATATATATATATATATATATATATATATATATATATATATATATATATATATATATATATATATATATATATATATATATATATATATATATATATATATATATATGTGTGTGTGTGTGTGTGCCTGTGTGTGTGTTACAGGGAGTTTGAGAAATCCGTGAGTTTGCAAACTCCCTGACCCATCAGTGACTTTGCAAACTCACTAGGGAGTTTGCAAATTCACTAGGGAGTTTGCAAACTCACTGACCGGTCAGGGAGTTTGAGAAATTCCAGAGCGATTGGGCCAAATAAAATCAAATGTGTAAGATGAGGGTGGCATACGTGCCGTCCGTGATGTTAAAACAAAAGCGACTAGTGGTACGGCCTATATAACCGTCGCACGCTGACAAAAAGCTTACAGATCCTTCATTGTTTTACCGAAAAAAATGCTACTCGCGGCTATGTAGAGGGGAGGTTCGGAGCAACGTGCTCCTCCGTTCCGTCCTTTCCATCCTCAGCAATCAGGATACTGAAATCCTTCTCGTCCACGCCGAAACCCCCATTCCGGGCTGGACAGGCACCTTTATCTCATGCGGGCTGCTCCCTTGGAGCTGCACCGCTGCTCCCGAGGGAGCGCACCCCGTAGCCGGGTGCAAAGAGTGCTTCGGGGGGGGGGGGCTGGTCGGTCTGTCAATTCGGACGGGCTCAGCCCCGGCGACTCTGCATATAGGGTGTCTGCCCAGACCAATGTCTCCCCCTATAATTCCTATCATTCGTCCGACTCTGAAATGGTCTTGTCAGACCGAAAGGGCCTAACCCAACAAAACAAAAACAAACAAGCAACGTGCGCCAGTCGCAGCTGGGCTGGCTGCCAGCAGCGCCGGCTCTCGTTGACACGTCTATGACGAAGTGGGAATGGGCGTGAATTGATGCGTGTGCCTGTACTTTAGCATAAGTGACCAACAGTGAGCTGTTTCTACTTTGATATATTTAGCCTGACTCTGGAATAGCCACACTTGAGTGGAACGGGTCTAATTGGGACGTGAACTGAATAAATGTATAACTAAATAAAGCGGCGGTACATGCATGGGTAAATCACTGAGCAGTTTAAAATAAAAGAGGTATTTATGGTGTGCATATGATCTATAAGCTTTTTGTTAGCGTGCGAGGCCTTAGAGCTACCCTCCTTTGTTTTGACATCACGGACGGCACGTATGCCACCCACATGCTGCACACTTGTTTTTATTTGGCCCAATCACTCTGAAATTTCTCAAACTCCCTGACCGGTCAGTGAGTTTGCAAACTCCCTAGTGAATTTGTAAACTCCCTAGTGAGTTTGCAAACTCACGGATTTCTCAAACTCCCTGTAATATATATATATATATATATATATATATATATATATATATATATATATATATATATATATATATATATATATATATATATATATATATATATATATATATATATATATATATATATATATATATATATATATATATATATATATATATATATATATGGTTGTGTAGAATGGTAGCGTAGTTCCGCGCGCCTGATGGATCCTGTATGATCTGCAGATGGACGCCGAAATCCCAGGCCAAGCTGCGTCAAGTTAATTGTTGAAAAACGCGGTAAAATGTAGATAAGATAATCAACGCTAGAAATGAATGTTCCCCGCGACAATACAATTATTGAAATGACTGCGCCTGTATGTTTGTGTGGACGTGCCGCGGCGGCCGGCCCGGGGGCGGTTCGGACGGCAGCGCCCAGTTCATATCGAAAAGCCCATTGGCTAGGGTCACTTTGTAAAAGTGACTCAAAAGGGCAAATTGGTAACGTTGGCCTGGTGCGTAAAGCTCAAGCTACACTATCAGCCTTTTTTCGGTTTCTGTGGGATTTCGGTTTCCGCGTTTTTTTATTGGTTTCTGCGTTTTTTTCGCTCCGAGCGGCCTCAGTCTCCCACACAATAGGGAAAAGCTAAAATTATTGAGCGCTCGAAAAATTGAGTGGGTCCCATTATAAAGGAATAGGGGATACGATGGCATTTTACAATGCCTTTAGCGTCACTGTGGTCACCGATTTGACGGGGTATGAAACGCGCTATTAAAGGGACTATCCCACCTTCTAAAATGTTGTTAAAACCAGTTACATTGTGCCCGACTTTATAGATTGGATGACCAGGAAGGGTGCGTATTATTTAGGCCAGGGTTCATAATGTCCAGGGCACAATGTGTCCAGTGCTCGAAATGGCCAGTGCCTTGAATTGGCCCGTGTTCACATTGTCCAGGGATTACATGGTCCAAATGTGGCCAACTGGCTGCAGATAGGGTAAATTCAAAGAGGCCAGGGTTCATAATGTCCAGGGCACGATGTGTCCAGTGTTCGAAATGGCCAGGGTTCATAATGTCCAGGGTACGATGTGTCCAGTGTTCGAAATGGCCAGGGTTCATAATGTCCAGGGCACGATGTGTCCAGTGTTCAAAATGGCCAGTGCCTTGAATGGGCCAGAGTTCATGGTGTCCAGGGATTACATAGTCAACCCAACCCAACCCAACCCAACCAAACCTAACCTAACCTAACCTAACCTAACCTAACCTAACCTAACCTAACCTAACCTAACCTAACCTAACCTAACCTAACCTAAGGTAATGATGTTTGCCTACCGGGGATAAGGAAATAGTTTCTCGCATGAATAGATTGCAAGCAATAGTAAATCAAATATTTTTAGGTTAAGTGGTTATGCATCAGGCTTCAGGCCTTCGGCCTGAAGCCAGATACATAACCACTTAACCTAAAAATATTTGATTTACTATTGCCTGTAATCTCTCCTAAGGCATTGCCTTCGGCACTGCACTGCTTCGCATTGAGCTGGTTCCGTGTTTTTTACATAATGACGTCACTATCAGTGACTATGTAATCCCTGGACATTATGCACTCTGGCCCATTCAAGGCACTGGCCATTTTGAACACTGGACATATCGTGCCCTGGACATTATGAGCCCTGGCCATTTCGAACACTGGACACATCGTGTCCTGGACATTATGAACCCTGGCCATTTCGAACACTGGACACATCGTGCCCTGGACATTATGAACCCTGGCCTCTTTGAATATACCCTATCTGCAGCCAGTTGGCCGCATTTGGACCATGCAATCCCTGGACATTATGAACTCTGGCCCATTCAAGGCACTGGCCATTTCGACACTGGGCATATCGTACCCTGGACATTATGAACCCTGGCCAGAATGAATGCTCCCCACCAGGAACACGGTTCTGGCATTTATTTTTCATTAAACATCTTAGGCTTTCCATATTCCAAACACAAACTTTCAAATATGTGACGTCACAGCCCAAAATTACCTCCTTCCCCAGGCCACATTACTGTCATAAAGCTGATTGTTTTTACTCTGTAGGCACCACAACAAAGTTCAGACCAAGTTTTAAGCGATTTTTCAACGAACAAACCCATTTAAATCAGAATGACTAAACGAGGTGACGTCACACTAACGGTCGCTCCATGTTGAAGATAGGGCCTTGTACAAGGCCCATTTTCAAATGAAGGGAACGAATTTCTTCAACACCAAGAGGCCGTGGGGGTTGCAACCTAGATAGATCGTGGTTTCTGAACCTCGCCGCAAACTTGGCTATCTCAACTCAAACCCCATGTTAAAGGTGGGATAGTCCCTTTAATTGTAAGCTGTGCAGCCCTTATTTTTGTTTATTCATGCGGTTTCTGAAACGACAGAAATATGAACACTAAACAACATGCGATAAATTACAATCATAATGAATTTTAGAGGCAACAAGTACTGAAACAAATAAGCAAATCAATAATAGTAAGCACGGAACAATATAAAATAATAGCTTACCAAACGTTAGCCTCATCCAGCTTCGGTGACGGTCGTTCGAGTTCATTCAATCATATTAGCATCATTCGGACATCGCTCGATCGATTGTTTGGTTCGTTCGTTCGTTCGCATATACAATACAGTAAATACAATAATTCAGTTGCTCATGGCAAATCAAACTAAAATAAAACATGGCCGCACTTATCCTAAAACCCATTATCAATCAAAAATCATATTTTTTATTCTGTTCCTTTTGTTCATCTGGGTTCATCATCACCCATCCGCTAAGTTTTCCCACTTTTCACGCGCGTTTCGCTGCCGTGCGCTTCACTTAAAACATCAGCATGTACAACACCCTCCCCCGCCAGTGTTCCGTCTGCACCGGAACGCTACATCACTCATTAGTCGCTTAGTTCAAAACTGCGATCAGTTACGGCCGCTGAGACAGCCACGGATCTTGCACGGATCGGCCCTCCACAGGGCCCAATCTTATAAACGTCGTGAAATGGATATGGCAGCACTCTAAGGCAGAGCCCTGTTCGGGCAGCGCATCCTATTGTAAAATTTTGCACCACGCATGCGCAGTTGGGGTCTCTCGGGTGCCAAGCTCCGCCCTTCGGCGTATGACGTCACACGTGTGACGTAGGCTCGCGCAAAATCTTTCAGTTTTGCGCAAGAAGAAAATAGTAGCTGCAGGTGGCGAAAGTGGCGCGGATTAAAGTTTACCCTCATATATTTCTTATTGTAAGTGGTTAGTATGGTGTTGTTTTGGTATCATTATCTTTCTTTTCAGTGGCACATTGCTATTAACCACATTTGAACGCATTTTACTTAGTAACTGAACGAAACACACCAGTCCAACCGCGCCACGGTTCGCCGCGTGTCGCGTGGCCCTCGGCTTTGCGAACCGGCGGAGAGGGGGCGGAGCATGGGCGGAGCCAGGCGGGTGACATCATCGTATGTGTGACTTCACACTCAGCAAAATATTTTGCGCGGACCCGAACAGGGCTCTGGATATATAGTACGCAATCCTATAAAACGGGAGTGTCTAAAAAGCAGACGAGATTAGCAGACGAGCCCATGCTCAGTAACTACCGGAC